CCATTGACTTGCACATGCTATGTTGTGAAGCCACTGTAGGTGAGATGCGAGATTCAGTAGATGAGCTACACCAAAACATGGAAGTCATGGAGAGTACACTGGTGGAAGTGGAAGGCGCCTAAGCGGAGTCATGGATGAGGTCTATGACATACTCAATGGCACGCTCAAGGAAATCTATAGCACCGCGCGCTAATAAGAAGGAAGCTCATCCAACTCGCATGTCCAAGACAATCTTGACAACTTTCAAGCCCAACTCGACGAGATGAAGAGAGAGTGGGCAACGTGGAGAAGAATCATCTCCACAACAATGCCCACTCAGGACGAACTGAATGAGATGAAGACTGAATGGGCAGCTTTGAAGTCCGCCCTAAACACCTCCGCTGATGTCCAAGTTCAACTTGATGAAATCAAGGGGGAGTGTGCCATCATGAAGAGAGCAATTGCCAACTTGGCCAGCACCTTAGCCTTACACACTCCTTCCTACATCAAGATTCGGGAGTCAACTCCCTATTCGGGCACTCGTGATGCACGAGAGCTCAACAACTTCTTGTGGCAAATGGAACAATACCTTGTTACGACCAATGTGGTTGATGAAAGGACTCAGGTACGTACAACTAGAACGTTTTTAACTAATACAACTATGTTGTGGTGGCGCAAAAAGTGTGTTAACATAGAATGTGGTACGTTTACCATACAATCATGGGCCGATTTTAAGCGAGAGTTGAAGAGACAGTTCTATCCAGAGAATGTGGAGTTCCTTGCCCGCCGAAGGATGAAGTCCCTTAAGCATGGTGACTCGCTCCACGAGTATGTGAAAGAATTCTCTGCTCTCACATTAGAAGTCATCGACATGTCAGATAAAGACCTATTGTTCAACTTCATGGATGGCCTAAAGCCTTGGGCTGAGTTCGAGCTCCAGTGATGCAATGTTCAAGACCTTGCCTCTTCCATGGTTGTGGCCGAACAACTTAGTTAACTGAAATTGTTGGATGACGAAGGAACCAAGCCAGCCAGCCCACGTGCTGCTCCCCCGAGAGAGAAGCAGCCCTACCACAACCAACCAACACAATACCAAAAGGGAATGCACCCACAAGGAAGTCATAGCTTCTACAACAACAAGTACCAAGGAAGACCAACCCATCCGCCTACATACTACATTTGTGGGGAGGAACACTTAACAAGACATTGCCCGAAACGGGAGAAGCTAAATGCCCTCATTGCCAAGTTGAGTGGTGACGAGCATAGTGATGGGGAGCAGAGTACCCAGACGCCAAGAGTGGGCGCCCTACAACTTTTCAATGCTATGATGAAGAAAGGGGCTACCTCCAAACAGACCGCCTTAGTTAAGAGAGGAGTGAGGGATGTTGATGTAACCCTTGGCAGGAGGCCAAATAGGTTCCTAGTTGACACGGGGGCCACTCACAAATTCATATCCATTGTAGAGGCCAAGAGACTTAATTTGGCCATCTCCAAAAAGCTAGGCTGGCTCAAAGCAGTTAACAGAGGTGCCAAACCTACTAAAGGCATGGCTCACAAAGTAAGACTACAACTTGGCAACTGAGATGGAGAGATTGACCTCTCTGTTGTTCACATGGATGACTTCAATGTTGTCCTTGGAATGGACTTCATGATACAGGCAAAAGCAGCACCGACGCCTCACCTTGACACTCTGGTGATCATGGACGAGCAATCACCTTGCATGGTCAACATGATCACCATAGCTAGTACCAAGAAGAAGCAAGTCTCAACCTTGCAACTCCAACACCAACCTCAACCTCAAAGGATGGCAAAGAGATCTATAACAACCACCACGACTGCAACTAGAAGTGATCGCAGCGACTCTAGGAAGAAATCAGCGCCAGTGTCAGTGCCAACACCGCCACAACACCAGCAACAGCAGCGGAAGCCACCTTTGCAGCAGAAGCCGCATATTCCCGCAACTGATGAGCCCAAGAGAAGACCCAAGGCCAACTTCAACTATAACCTTACCTGCTACCTCAATCATCGGGGAGAGCGAGTGTCACCCAAGCAATATAGGAATCACATTCTCACCCCTCCTCAAGTTGAACGACGTAGTAGCACGGTGAGCATCCATCCATGGGCAAAAATGTAGGGGAACCAATACCCGAAAAATCCAAACCATCATTTTGACCCAGCCTTGGTCACCAATTTTCCTACCACCACTGGGAAACGTCCAAAATCCTACCTTGAAGCAGCTAGGCAGGGACTTAACTTAGGGACTAGCCATAGGTTTTCCCATCATAAAGGACATCCACAAGCCATCCACCCAACCTCCTATCTGGGCCTTGGAAGAAACCCTATTCGTGGAGCAGTTGAAGAACCTTCCTTCACCAACAAGAAGTTCGAGCCATAAGTAGAAGTTGGTCTTCGAGTGGGGGAGAATGTCACAAGTGACCATTTTGTCGTGCCTTCAAGTGCCATCACCATGCCCACAATATGCCATCCAATGTCCAAGTGTGTGTCTTGGGTGGGGCATTGCATGTATTTTGTATGGGGGGATTGCCAATGGCATTATTGTAATTATGTAGTATAATTTTTCACCTTTTTTATGTTTCTTACCGTCACTCCCCCAAAAGTTTAACGTATTCTTTGAAGGGATGTAGGTAGTCGAGTGAGTCAATAGTGTGTAAAGGTTAAGCACGAGATCCCCTCGACACTGAACTGTGTGCTTGTGCTGATCATCAATCAATGCAATATAAGTAGCATTTTGACTAATTTGTGTGCCTTCTTGTTGCTTTTTATGTGTTGTCACTTGCATTCGTAGACTTTCTCGACCCCATCGAGCGCCACATGGGAGCCTCGTCGAATAACCTTGTGACACTAGGCCAGCTTAGCAACCACCCAAATAGAAACAAGTATATCTTATGTTGACAATAGATTTTGGAAGTAGGAAAACTAATCCTAACCATACAGCCATTAAAGCTAGCTGACCTTTGAAGAACATAAAGGCAGTGATGTGTTAATGGGCACCGGTAAACCACATGTGCTAGTGCCAAGTTATTAACAAAAGTACCTCTATTGATTCTTTGTGCCTTTTTCTTTAAAGGCCCATAATCCATAGTGTGCTGCCACCATAGCTCATGAAGTCATGATTGAAATGAACTAACTTCTATGAAATGAATGTTATTGAGAGTCAACATGGTTACTCAAAACTGAGTTCTGAGAAAGCTTTAAACTACCATCTGGATATCTCCAACAATTTGAGCTTAATTCAGCTATCACACCTAGTGGATATCTAGCATAAACTTTGACCTGGAATTGAAGATTAGAGAGTCTGGATTTTGTTATACATAAAGAGCCTGCCTTTTATTTTGAAAATTTTCTGCATTGATTAACCTAAGAAGCAATTTTCAGCAATTCAGACTGAAACAACAATGTCAAAAAAATTGTACCAAGGAAGCGGCTATTTATGATAATTCTGTCATATTCAACTGCCATTTTTCTTTCTCTGACTGATGCATTCCCTGTTTCAATTACTGATTATTTGCTTGTTTAACTTGATTCTGTTGCCGTATTAACTTACTGTTCATATCAAATGTGGATGAAATGGCAAGAGAATCAAGGGACAAGAGTTTTTTCCTGCTTGATATGCAGGAGTTGATGAATGATATCAAAATCAATTTCTTTCTCTAGTGAACGAGTCTGTCGGGTTATCAGTTACCTCACACAATTGACCTCAATAGCCAATAAGAAGTAGCATTTTAGTATATTTATATTGTCTCCAAAACCGGTTAAGCATCTTTATGTGTATTCTTGATGAAGAGACAAAGTGGGCAGGGTTTCCCAAATCGACTGCAGTGTCGTCCGGATCCACTTCCAAGCATACTAATGCATATGCAGCTAGCAATAACAGTCGCAATCTTCTAGGGTTCTAGCATGAATGATGTTGTCTTGCCATCAATCTATCATGCAGCATTACCAAACGCGAAGTGACCGTCGATAAAGGAAAATGTCTTTTTTATTTTTTATTTTGGAAAATTCTATTTTACTACTCTGAATTTTGGGTAGTGTCAAGTTGGTGACCATCATTATCAACCTTCAATTATCTATTGAAAAGATTAAAACTATCTTTTTTTTAAAAAAAGACATTAATTATCTTCAAAAAAGAGAAAAATAAAACATAAAATATGATAGAAAAAAATAATAATTAAAAGTAAAGAAATAACTAGATAAGAACATATTTTAAATTTAAAAATAAAAAAGAATGATTTTATTAGTCTAAAATCTCGAATATCTGTCCATTTAATCTTAAGATAGAAAATAATGAACAATATTTTTTAAGAATAATTTTGACATTTTCAATAAATAACCGACAGTAACCGGAAAGAGCAAAAAATTCAGATATTACATTTAAAGTTCGGGGACTAATTGGGTATTAAAATGAAAATTTCCCTTTTTTTGATGAGCTGCGTGAAACCCTCCCACTCGATCAATCATCAATCCAGTTGGCATGCAGCAGGAATATCTATGTGTCCGCTAGCAACGACATTGATTCCTTGATTTGAAAGAGACCCATCACTAAATGTGGAGGTGACAGACGAGCCAAAGGGAATAACAGAGAGAGAGAGAGAGAGAGATTTTAGCTTTTTAAGTGGCGTTAGTTTCTCATGGATGTTAACAAGTAGCTGACAACTCCTGTAGTTAAAAGTGAAAGCCTTGAATATAACCACGAAAACTCCCCAAGTTTATCCTTTATCCACGCAACCAGTCCACCAAACAATCAAAGTCTAACTAAAATAAACACACTTCACTAAATCTCGTAAAATTACAGTAGGAATTTAGTTTGAGATAAGGCTTTTACAGAGTTTGAATCCGGCCGCTCTGATTCTAGTTTCTAACAACAAAAAGCGAAATCAGAATTCAGAGTAGAGTGCTCAGTGCTCACTCCTCAGTAAAGGCAAAGATTTCCCCCTCTGGCTCCCAACTGGCCAACAGCACTCTCAGAGCGACAACTTCCAGCTATGATAAAAAGCTTCGTATATGCAGCAATCAGAAGAATCATTCAATTCATTCGCTCTTTCCAGTTTGTACATCCAATAAAAACAGAACAAATTAAAGAACACTCTGCAACCATTTCTTTATAGTTTATACAACCAATCGATTATAACAAATTCCATTTCTATAGAGTTTTCAACTTTTTAACGAAAACAAACCAAAAATTAAAGTCAAGCAGACTTGAACTGACTCAATTATGTCTAAAAATGGAACAAAATGAAAACGGAAATGTTTTCTGATTGTCTAAATTTTCTGCTAGGTTCCACGGTTGATCATCTCCCTGTACTGATTCAACGACTCCTGCCTCTGCAACCTCATCTCTTCATTGAATTTCTTTATGAACGCTTCAACCCTCCGGTTCAGCTCATCCTGACTCAATGAAGGTTCCTTGCGAGGCTTCCCGGAACCCGGTGACGGACTCGGCGACGACCTCGGGTTACGGCCCTTGAACGTCTCCGACTTCTTCACCTTCGCAGGAGAAAGTTCCTCTGCTCCGGGGTGGTTGTGACGATCGTGGGTTTCCCACGTCTCTGATTTCTTCAGATGCCTCGTCAGTGGCATCGGGCGCCCGTCCGTTATCATCTTCCATGTACTCTCCAGCGTGTCGTTTCGTTTCGGTTTCGCCACCCGTAACGCCCTTCCACCTAATCAACATTAGTAAACAACAAGTAAAATGACTGTGATTTACTTTTTACTTCCATTTCCATAGCCATTAAGTCATTAACCCAATAAAGTTGATTCCTTTCTCTCCACGTTCTTGTTTTGATCCAAGAAACCATGTATATATTTATTTATTTTTATTTCTTGTCAGAAATTCAGAAAATAAAATAAATAGCAGAGACATTCGGACGTCTCTCGCGGCCGGATTACTGACAACACGGTGTGCCGGTGGGGAGCCTCCTTCCGCCACCGAGGTAGCAAAACAAAACGAAATTAAAAACTGGAATTCTCTGTGTGTGTGTGTGTGTGAGAGAGAGAGAGAGAGAGAGTCACCTTCGGGGCTAGCTTTGACGGCCTTCCGGGCAAATCTAGTAGAAACCAGTGGTTTCTCAGCAGGGAAGGAATACTCGTTAGGAATCTCGATCGAATCACTCCGCTGCGGCGTCCAAGTAGATCTAGAGATAACAAAATCATCATTCTCCTCTGAAGCAGGCGTCGGAGGATTCTTCACCTCCGCAGCCCCAGCTTGACCTTGTCCAGACCCCGCCACAGGCTCCAAAGATTCAAAATCCGGATGAGTCTCTTCCGGATTCTTCATCACAACAGTTTCATAAGCCAACTCCGGAATTGCAGCGACCACTTGCTCCTTCAACGCCACTACATCTTCATACATATCCGTGGTGACGAAATCAGATCGTACATCCGCTTTGACGGGCGGAACCACCGTCTCCGACTGCTGCTCATCAACCTTTTGGTGAAACCTGGAAGACGCAGCTATGGTGATTATTATCCCGTTAATTACCACGTAGAGATAAGGAGGCGTAAGCCATGAGAGCAATGACCCCCATATCAGAGGAATTTCAGTAAGCATGAACTCCAACACTACTGGAACAGAAAGCTTCAATATCACAGCCATGGATACGACTCCAGTTGAAATCAGTAAAACCTTCACAGAGGAAATCCAATTGTTTGAGCTCCGAGAGATAACCGCCATCCTTTCCGGTGAGAGATCTTTGCGAGAATCTTACCTTCTGTCTGTTTTTTGTTTTCCTGTTGGAGAGAAGCTTAGAAAGCGAGAAGAGAGACAGAGACGGATAAGCGGAGGATACTATATTTAAAGGGAAGCGAGATGGAGAAGTGGGGAGAGGCCGAACATCATAGGAAGTGCCAAGTGGGCGATGCTGTTTATGATGAAAGAAAAGCCGTTGGATGTGGATCAAGATGCTCGGAGCTTAAGGAGCGAGGTGATGGATGATCTGATACCGGTCCCACATTCGCAGAAATTTGACATGACTAAAATGCCCCTTTTGCTACAGAAAGAACGACGTGATGGAAGAGGGTTTTATGGTCAATATGGTGGTTATTCACGAGGTTGGACACTTGGACTGGCCTTTCTCAGCTCAACCAATCCCATCGGTTCAACTAGTGAACCCGGTCCAAAGCATCCTTGGAGTTGGACAAGTGTAACGTAGAGGCTTCAAGAAACAGAAACAGAAACAGAACAATTACTGCTTCGTTCGTCGCCTAGTAGTCTAGTACTTTTTAATGTACTGATTAATTAACACAACAGAGTGAGGATGGTGTGTGGGTCATATAAATATTTCTATTTTAAAATTATAAAAAGGGGGAATTTCTCAACGGTCAATAATATGACCGTTACAATCGGAAGTTGTAGGAGGATCCTGAAGAGCCGGTCCCATGGGCGCGGCCATTCCCGCGGGCTTTCACACGTGCCCAACAGCCTGGTGGTGAGTGGTGAGTGGTGAGTGGTGAGTGGCTATGGCGTGTGGGCCTAAGCGCCGGTTCCACGCTTTTAAGGAGAAATACAAATACTCCTGTATAACTATGTCCCACAATTATAAGAAAGTCCGTTAGGCCCAACTGGGAGAAAATAGAAGGAGAAAGCGAGCTTCGTAGCAAAGGAAAGAATCATGGTGGGACCTACACGGCAACACGATCACTCATCGTGGGGTGCCTTTTCTCCATCCCTCCTTTCTTCTGGTCTGGTATTACAGTACTCTGCTGTCTGCTCGACTGCTGCCTGCTGGTAAATCGTAAATAGTGAGAATGGGCCTAGTTGGGATATGGCCATATGGGCAATGACCAATGTTGGTTTGGTCATGAAATTGAAACGAAACGTTTGTTCAACAACTGTGCAAGCTGCACGGTAGTATTTCCTTCCTGCTGCTAGAGAGTAGAGACTCCAAATACCAATTTTCTTCTACGATTTGGATGGTAGACATATTTGCAACGTGGCGCATGTTGACGGAAGTGGCAGTCTGGCAGAGACGGGTCGTGAATTATTGTTCGAACCCAGGCTCACCATAAATGACCTCCGCTATTTGAATCACTACAGTCTTCGGCGGAATCTCGTTTGTGGGGATAACAGTTGTTCTGGAATTCTGGGAGACGGGTATACGGCGGGCTCATATCACGTATGATATGATATGGGTCTACAAGTTGGTTGTTATGCCACTTTTCGAATCAAAGTCAAAAGTTTCAAGACTAGTCTTCGCCACCGTCAAATGTATATATGATTGCCACGTGTCACCCAAGCCCTACCATCATCCCTGGTTTTCTTTTGTTTTAGTTGCCTTTTTTTTCTTTTTCTTTTTTTTTTTCTTTTGAGGGAGGGGATTGTTTGGCTTTTGGCTTTTTGTTAAACGTAAGATTATTTTATGTTTAAAATTCAAAAGAAAAAAAATACTACAAAATTCTAAGGGAATGAGAATCAATATGAGTAGTAAAGTGAATAAGCTGGCATAGATAACTGTATTTTATCCTCTACACGAGGATTTCCTCCCCACACCCACTTCATAGCATTTGCAGCCATACATTGGTAACATTTTCTATGAATGAAAATATATATTTTATTGCAAAAAAAAAAAACATATATTTTATACTCTATACGAAGATTTCTTCTTCTGATGAATGAACACATGCAAGTAGGGGAAGGGGGGGGGGGATTTTTACCAAACATTACTCATAAACTGTTGGAGTGGGGCTCATCTCAAGAAGCCAAAAGCCACTACGTAACCAAATTTGATTTGTTTGTATTTGACTTTTTTTGGGGGAAAAGTTTGTATTTGAATTCAAATTGAGTCGTATTGGTCTCGAATCAATTCTGGACCACGATCAAATTTAAATGATTTTAATAAGTTAAGTAAAGATGATAAAATGGGATATATTATTCACAAAATGAATTAAAAATAACTTTAACACTTCAATAAAAAAGCAAATTTTTAAACCAATTTTCCTAATAGATAGATATAATATAAATTTTAAATACACATAAGCAAGCATATTTAAACTGAACTAAATCTGATTTAAAAAATAATCAAATTGAACTGGTTAGGGTTGATCCATACTTGACGCAATTATAAAACCCCAACTTGTTCAAATTCGAATTTGAGCTAGATAAAATGATAAACCATTTGAAACTCTATATTTGAAGTCCATTAAGGCTCAATTTGGAAGCAATACAAATACAAATATATATATGTATATATATATATATATATATAGTGCAAATACACGTTTAGAAATATAAAATACAAGATTTTGTGCTGTACATATTTACATGGACGTTCCAAAATCGACCCAGCAACCCTGTTTGGTAGTGCCATCAGGTCTAGTCCGAATCAAGGTAGAACTAGTTCTAGATTGATAATTAGTGGCAGAGTCAAGTAATTTCTATCAATGAGTGCAACCAAAATTAAAGTAATAAAAACTCCAGAAAAAAAAAAAAAAAGAGTCTAGTAATTTCTATCAATGATTATTAGGGCTGCAAGTCGAGTCAAGCTAGGTTAGGTCAGGTTGAGGCCAACCCTAGCCCAACCCGACCTACCCAACCCAAAGTCAACTTCAGGTTAGGCCCAACCCAATCTTCTTCCCATCCCTTAAAATCTCGTAGAACTTTTTAATCTTAGATCTTAACTCAACTTTCATTACATATATTAATCCTATGTTTTATTATTATTTGTTTGTTGATGTTTTTATTGGTTCTTTGAGTACAAAATTTAGGAAACAAGTGCTTGAAATGACTATAGTTTATTATGATGGCTTATAATACATCTTTTATGGGTAGCAAGCTATGGGTGGCAAATAACAGAGAGGAGATAAAGAATAAAATATTCAGAAAACAAAAAACATGTTATCAAGGTTTTAGTATTTCTAATTAGGATTAAGTGAAGTGATTATCTTAAATCAAATAAATCAAATAAATGATAGTATGTGGTGGTGGCTATACAACTATCATGCATCTAAACAAATCAATGTATAATATATATATTCAATAGGTTTATCATAATTAGATACATCGGGTTAGATAGACCTGATTGTCCCAAGAACCGATCAATTCGGTTTCAGGCCCTTATTATTTCTTGTCGAGTTAGGTCCGATTCTAACTATACCTGACCCAGACCCAACTTATTGATAGCCCTACATTTGTTGTGTTCATTACAAACATCAAATTGCTTTTATGTAAAAACCAACTTTTGTTTTAACCATTTAATCAAAGTGGTTATTTTCTTACTGACTATTAACTTTCTAAAACTACAAGAGGTACCCCATAGGGGTGCTCACCAAACCGAACTGTGGGCTTATTTTTGAAACCAAACCAAGGTTATCGATTTTTGGAAAGCTGGTAACCGAAACCAAATCGAAGCCAATCGATTAATTGGTTGACTAGTTCGGTTCATCAGTTTTTTATTATTTGCAATATATATTATCAAAAAAATATATAAATATATAATAAAACAATAGAATATATAAAATATTATATTTTAAATAATATATTATATATTATAAATATATTTATATATAGTGCATATTTATTAATTTATAATGTATAGAAAATATAAAATATAATATACATAAAATATATAAAAATATATGTATACAATCGGTTCAATCAACCACCGGTTTTCTATTTTAGTTAATCAAAACCGAATGGGTACCTTTGATTTTTTAAATACTGAACCGAAACCAAACCGACTAATTTGATTAACCAAATTTTCAGTTCGATTTCAGTCGATTTTTTTGATCGATTCGATTTTTTTATTTTTTTTGTTCACCCCTAGTACCCCATACTTTTATTGGAGTTTGGTAGTTTTACTTTTTAATAGGTCAAATCTCTATATATTTCAAATAGATCCAACATTTTTTATTTGAGTGGGGTGGATTTTGAAAAAAAAAAAAAGAATTTAAATTTAACATAAATTGTGACTAATCCCTTAAAAATTTTAGAAGCCAAATGGGTTCAATTGCTCACCCTCATGACAATGCAATTCCGCCCATGTGACTAATCCCTTAAAGATCCAGTTTGATCTAGACCTTATAGGGTTTGTAATGACAGACCCAAAATTGACCCAATCATCAAATATGAGAATGCCAGTTCAAGCCTAAGAGTGGTCATTTGCCAAAAAAAAATACTCAGGACCACATCCATCCACCCCTCCCAAGACTCCATATAATTGGGACCAACATTAGGTAATGGCCTTTGGTTCTAATCCCATAAGACCAAATTATAATTGACAACTATACTTTTACTTTGGTAATAATTAGGTCTAAGTTATTCATCAAAAAAAATAATTAGGGACTAAAATACTTTTACTTATGTTCAATCTATGACAAGTGTGCCTCATTACAGATGTATAAATATTCTGTGCATATGAGAATAGATTTAATGGGACTAAAATACAACTAATAAAATACTTTTCACATGCTAAGGGGAGTGTCTTTTTTTGGATTTTGAGAGTTGGGGAAGTTGGTGAATGTGATTTTGATTTCCATTGACCAAGAAACTCATGTTCTTTTCTTAGATTTATATGGGAACTAGAGGAAGTTTCTTTTCCTAGGTGCCATCTCCTAAGTGGGTAAATAATTTTCCCACATGGGGAAAAGTTGTCAACACTTGAATGGGACAAAAATGCCCCTTTTAATAATGAATTTTTATAACTAAAATGATAATTGCCCTATTTACATAGAAAATAAAAGAACATGGGTAAATGCGCTTACTTGGGTGAGTCTTTCTTGGGAAACACTTACCCAAGTAAGTAGTGATGGCAATTTTTAATCCAACCCGCTGAACCCACCCAACCCACCCATTTAAATGGGTTGGGTTGGGTTGGGTTGTGGATAACCATTGGATTAACCATTATAGATATAAGTATTAATTCCTTAGTCTTTTATTTTAATTTTCTTCTTTTGAATTAAATAATTTATAATTAATGCATTAATTTTCTATTAATAATGGACTAAATTTAGTTTTGTCTTGAATCAATACACTTCACCCAACATAAATCCAAATAAATTTGACCCGAGTCCGAATCAATTCAACGCGGTCTGACCCGATCCAACATATACTGATCCGGGTCGACCCGAATCCGAAATAGACCCCAAGCGGGATGGTTCAGTGCCGCTTGCTCTGTCCGATTTGGGCCATCCGGTCCAACCAACATTCACACACTCCGACCCAATCCGGGTCGACCCAAATCCGAAACGTTTTGGGCGGGTTGATTCGGCCTCTGTGTGCTTTGCCCGGTCTGGACCGTCCATCCAACTAATATCCACACGACTCGACCCGAATCCGGACCGACCCGAGTTAGCAAACCCAATTCGGGTCAGCCGGTCCAGTCCCAAACCTGTGCACAAACTTGATATGGTCCGGTCCAAGTCAATCCACCATTGATTGAACTGGTCCGATCCGTTCGGATTGATCCAGATCTAAACAGTTCAACCACCCTTGAACCTAAGTGGCTTAAGTTGGTCTAGCCGGTTTGAACCTAAGTGGTTCGGTCAAACTCGAAATCCGAACATAGTCAAATGGCTTCGCCGCTTGTGTAAAAATAACATGCATGTAATGTGATTTGAACCTTCACCACTTATGTAAATAATAATTACAATAACCACCAAACTACAATCAACATATTTGTTAAGAGAGAGTTTGTTTTTTAAGTCCATAAATATAGGATTAATGGGTTTGGGCAGGTTGAATTAGGTTAAAGTGGGTTTAGGTTGAACCCAACTCATTTAATTTTATATAACTGGGTCATTAATGAATTAGTGGGTTAAATAGATTGGATTGAAACTCAACCCAAACCAAACCCAACCAAATCCACCTAAATACAAGTCCGCAAACACAAAATAGTGCATTGCCAATGCTTTATCTCCCAATAACAACGGTTGGATTCAATTTATTAAGATTTTAGCAAAGACCTTATAAAAGACATTGTCAAGACTAATAAATCTGAAATAGTAAAAAAATTTTGGATTCTCATTCTTCTGGATTATTAGAGTGCTAAAAAATTTATTAATTTCTCTAGTCATTTTTCTAGAGTGGAAGAATGCTTCCGAGTAAGGTTGGTTAATAACAATGGGGTTCGTTTGGAGAATATGAGACTACTATCATTTACAGACCTTTTTTAATAGGTTGGTAACGTTTTGGACAATTACAAAACAGCCATTAAGATATACATGTATGGAAAATAGACAATGGAAGGTAGATAGAATAGTAATTTTGCATTTCAACTGACAGAAAACTCCTCTAAATGTTACCGGTATTGGACTCCTCTTCTGGTAAAACCAATGAAAGCTTAAAAGCTTAATTAAATTATAAGTAGAACATACTTTCATTTGACATGTAACTAAGATATTATTCTAATCCTTGGACAAATTCCAACAAACCCTTCATTTTCCTTTTTCATTGTTGATATTACCACGTATTTAAAAGCTTTTATTGATAGAACATAAGGATCAAAATATTGATATTTTTAATATCTAAAGTTTGATATATATATATATATATATATATATATATATATTCAAAGTATTGTTACGTATTGGCCTGTATCGGCCGATACGTATCATTTCAGGACCTTTTTAATACGCCCCTCAGTAGGTGTATCGGGGGTCTGACCAGTTCAGGGGATGGAGGGGTCCTAGAATATATATATACTTTCTCCATTTTTAGAAGAAAAGAAAATCGCCAACCAAAATTAAAGAGTTTGAAGGTTTTAAAAGACTATCAACAAATATATACATACATAAATATATATATATATATATATATATATATATATATATATACTTTCTCCATTTTTAGGAAAAAAGAAAATCGCCAACCAAAATTAAAAAGTTTGAAGGTTTTAAAAGACTATCAACAAATATATACATACATAAATATATATATATATATATGTATATATATATACACTTTCTCCATTTTTAGAAAAAAAGAAAATCGCCAACCAAAATTAAAGAGTTTGAAGGTTTTAAAAGACTATCAACAAATATATACATACATACATAATATGGGTGCATGCCAAAACCCCGAAGTCATCAGTAATTTGATATCTGAATTGCAATAATCAAACACGCTATACAACATGCAAAGATTAATCCCATTTTCCCCAAATGGAGAACCAGTAATCATAATTGAGACGAAGAATCCAAGCAATTTATACCCATCTTTATTGCTTCAATTATACTACTAGTACAAATGAAGCCACCACCCGAATAATAAAACAAACAAAAAAAAAAGAAAAACAAAAACTGAATTTGCCTCTACAAAAAGAGCTTACAACCCCAAATACAGGAGAGACATTTCCCCGTCCCACCCAAATATATTTCCTGTGGATCCACTGAACTAGTATGGTAATATCTGCTTTCCCCATTGCTTAGGGTTTCGAAAACAACCCTTCTGTTAATGATGAGAAATCATAATCTTTTCCTGATCGGGCAGGAGTAACCGAAGAGACAGACGATGCCGAAGGAGGCCTATTCAGTCCAGCCATGGTAACTCCATTGCTGGGAGCATGTTGCCCCATGGTATACATGCTGCAAATATAAACACCATAAATTCCATGATAAGCACGTATTGACAAATGACAATTAAGAAGATAAAAAAAAAAAAAAAAAAAGATACAAATTCTTGAGATGTGCATGATACATCCATGTATGCCAGCGAATAAACAATCTTCATTGTTTGTTGATTTCTTTACTTTTCCCTTTAAAGTGTTATTTGAGATGAAAACTCAATTCAGAAGAAGGGTGAATTCAATGACAGAGTGAGAGCATACCTAGATGCAGGAAATGAAACAAAGTTTCCTACTGGATGTGTCGGCCTAGGGTTTCCGGTCTGGAAATAGGAAGCTAAGTTAGATATATCTCTTGACACAGAGCAGTTAATAATATATGTGCACAGATAGAGCTACACCTGCACAAATTTCGGTAACTCATTTTGTCCAGTCGCTGGTTTTATCATCCCAGGAACTTGGTAGCCCGCATTTAGCCAGTTTTGAGCAGACAAACTGCCACCGAGTGCATGAGTACCATTAGAGGCAGGTTGCAAGGTATTGCCAGGAAATGTTGGAGTGGCGCCACCTGACTTGGCTGCAGCAGCCATGAGAAGGGACTGTTGCTGTGTCAACATTGCAAGTTGCTGCTGATGGATGGCAAAGGGTGACACCATGTTGGACTGCACCACATCAGAGCATAAACAAATGAACGTATTTTCTTCTTTTCAATGCAATAAATGAAAATGTTAATATATTACTAAAATTTGGCTATTCATAATGAAGCAAAGAACAACCAACTCAATTTTATTATGATAATAATATTGCAGAAGTATGATCAGGGCCCTCGGCTCCGAGCCAAGTCTAGTTGACCATCAAAAATTTCTATCCTTTAACTCATTACCATTGACATTAAGAGCAAGCATGGTACTTAACATTATTAGTCAATTGATTATCACAATCAATAAATGATATTGCAGCATCTACCTTTTCAAAGAGGCTCATAATGTCATTCTTTACATCTTTCTGAGGTTTTTCAGAATTTGGAGGCAGTGCGACAGAAGGTGGATCTTTAAATAGATCCTCAATTCCAGACCCAGTGGGGGTCTTACTCTCAGCTGGCTTTTCAGGACCAACTTTCTCCGCTGTGGATGATGTTTCTGCAGCTGCAAGTATTAATTTTGGAGTGAACAGGGAAAAATACTTACCAAAATCAGATAAATGCTAAACCAAGGAAATATTTAGAAAGAAGAAGCTTGAAGGTAGCAATAATTTCTCAGAGACAATAACACTATTTGGCATGTAAATACATACACTGGAATCCAGCCCATGCATTATCATCAACGGGTGTCTCTGTGCCACTCTCACTTGGATTCTCCATTGAGAGCATGTTAAAAAGATCAGTAGCATAATCAACTTTTGGGGGAGATGCAACTTTTGCAGAGTTAGTCGTATGTGCTGTAGATTCAACTTTCTGTACTACTGCTTCGGGTTTCTGGATGACTGGTTCTGGTTTTGGATCTAGAGGAACCTATTTATCAGTTAAGAAGTCAGGTATTGCATTTGTATCATCTCAAATCTCCTAATTCTTTTTCAGGACATTAAAAGGGTAAACAAAAAGAAAAAGAAAAAGTTTCACAAGGCAACAAGTGTGAATCATCCAATAAGTGCAGTAGAAATCAAGTCCTTCGTAATCGACATGTATATAAACTGGAATAGAGCATTCAAAATTAACTTAAAATTTGTAATACATATTCATTAATACATCTCTACATTGCTGAGGGCCTGTCTGTACCTCCTAGTTTCACATTATTTCCATGTTTGTTTATGTTAGCATGCTATGTGATTGATATCAAACCATCAACTCCAAAATGAACCAGCATCTTGTGATTTCAACTTCCTAGACAATAGGCACGGATTGGTGTGCAGAGGCAATTTACCAGAGACTTGGTACGCAAAAACCAAGAGACATAGATGCATAGCCGATTACCTTCTGAATGGCTGAAGAAGTAAACGCTGTGTCTAGCTAACCACCCTAATTGGATGTAGTAAAACCTCCCCATATGGAAGCTTAGAACATATTGGTTTCTCAATTCTGCAACAATTTTTTTGCACTTATTTTGAAAACTAGTATAACTAGAACAAAAACACAATGGTAACCTCTTACCCCTGTTTATTCAGCCTTACCATGAAACAAGATGCAAGTATTTCCTCGTGCCTTAATCTCTCCCCATCTCAGAACAACTGGAACCTGCACCTTAGAACACCCCTAAGAGATGTTGAAATTAAACGAAATTGCCAACTTGCTCCATACTCTTAGGGAGGTCTATATTTCGTCCAACTCTTTTGACCACCGCATCGAGACCCATCACCCAGATGGCAAGTTCTCAACTAAGTCCTTTTTAAAGGCCCTAACTGCTGAAGAAGATTTTGATTTCCCATGTTCCTCCCCGAGTTTTTTTTTTTTTTTTTTTGTGTGTGGGAAGCGTGATTGAAAAGAATAAACACTGAAATGTAGTGTGTGTGTGTGTGTGTACACACGCTACTAGTAAGTATGCACGTGGGAATTCTAGATCATGATAACGATAGTAATAGTGTATCCAAAATTTTCTATAAAATTCATGTATTTTTTATTTTTCACTATTAATCAGATGCAGATTGCAAAATCCGAATTTGATTATGTAGCACCTCATATTGGGTTGCAAAGTTTTGGGTATCATTGATAGCCTACCTACTTGGCAGTCTTCTTTTTGTAATGTTTTATCTTCTTAGTGTTTTTTTTTTGTTCATTTATCAAAAAAATATAAGATTTAAAGAGAGGGAATTGAATGAGCTGAAAAATGTAGTTCAAACTACATTTTAAACCTCAAAATTAAATAGGGATTAAATTCAAAAAATGGGTACTTTAGTCAAAAGAAAACTCTACAATCTTATTCAAATTTTTAATAGTAGTATAAATATGGAGTTATAGATGTGTTCAATTTTTTCTATAATTTTTTTATTTCTATATGTGTAAAAATAATACTATTATGTACACTTATTTTTTGTTTAATATTTTTTTTAGCAGTAACAGAAACCTTTCATTAATTAAGAAAGAAAGATTAAGTACAATGGTGGGTGGGAGGTAAACCCTCTTACCTCACCCTCTAAAGGAAAATTACAGTGTAGCCCAAAACAAATGACTTATTCCCACTCCCTGTTTGGCCAAAGCATCTGCAAATGAATTAGCACATCTTTTAACCCACCAGACGTGCACATCCATTCCTTGGGTTAGCCACTTGAATTGCCTTCGTTCATTAATGTATGCCCATAACCCATCATTTGCCTTCTCTATCCAGCCAGTTACCACTTGCGAATCTCCTTCAATAATCAGCCTATTTATATTTAGCTCCTTAGCCCTTTTTACCCCCTCCAATAGGACCAGAATTTCTGCACTCAATGAGTCTCCAACTCCAATTGGTCCTGAAAAAAAGGCTATTACTGAGCCTGCCTCTATTCTGAAAACACCACCAATCCCTGATGGCCATGGATTTCCTTCACTGCTCCCATCAAAGTTGAATTTGATAAAACCTTCCATTGGGAGGAACCACAAAGGATGGACATTGATTCTACTTGGAGTCGAGACTGCTATTTCCTGCCAGTTCTTATTTTTTGTTTAATATGATAAATATATGATATTGTACACGTGCCCAAATGTTTTTGTAAAATTTATGTATTTTTTCATTTTTATGTTTTTTATATTTTATTAATTTTCATTATTTAATTATGACATTAAAGGTTGACAAATTTGGATCCAAAAGTTGAACTATTAATCTCCGCTAAAAAAGGAAAATAATTTCATTTTTAGTTAGTTTTAGATTATTTATTTCATTTTCATCATCAATAAAAACAGTTCTTGTTTATTACGCTTATTTTTTTAATTTGATTAATAAAAAATATCATAAATGTGTATATTTTTTCTATATTTTTGTAGTTTTCTAGATTTATTTCTATTTAAAAATTTTATTATCTAACTATGACTTCATGGGTTGACCAATTTGATTTGGATGGTTGAATTGCTTAGTCATCACTTGGGTAAAGAATGGTTTTGTTTTTGAGTAAATTTTAAAATATATGGGTTTATATTGTTAAAAGTATTGGGCATAGATCTAATTAGTAGCATTTATTAGTGAAAAGTTAACTTAAATAAAGAATTTAATAAGAGAGAATGTGAGTTAATACCTTAAATATAAGAATTAATGAGAGGGGATTAAATGAGGTGAAAAACATTAATTGAAATTACATTTTCAACCTTCATAATCAAAGATGGACTAAATAACAAATGTGGGCATTTTAGTCAAGAAAAGTTCCACACCATCATTCGTACTTTTTATAATAGTATAGATATTATATATGCATGAGTACATACATATAGTGGTGACCTGGGCTCCTTTGTTTGATAAATTGGTCATACCCTAATTAATGGAAAATGAATTACTTGTTCTGAAAGGCCAAGTCACTCACACTGGTGCAGTCACTGGTTGTCTGTGCACATGACCAAACCATCTCAGCAAATTTTCCCTCATGTTACTAATTAAGGACACTTCTAAGTCCACTCTAATGCACTTCTTTCTAATACCGACCTTTCTACTTTTTCCATTTATCCATCTCAACATCCTTATATCAGCTACACTCGTTTTTTTAAATAAATATGTTTCTTGATTATCCAAGACTCTGTCCTATATACTAATGATGGTTTTAAAGCATACTAGATGAGACAATTGATAAGAAAAAATAGACAGCTGTACTAATACAAAAACAAGATAAACGAAAATAAAGAAAGAAACATAAGAAGAACAGTGACAAAAAGTTAAATTACAAACTAAGTTTACCTGTTCGACTACTTTTGGGGGTGCAGGAATACTACTAATAGGAGGAGCATTATTTTTTGTAGAAGATGGAGGAAGGTTCTTCCAATCATCAGAGGCATGTTCATCATTATAGGCATATCCACTCCCACTTCTTTGCCCAGGTCTCTGCCTACAAGCAGAAGCCCTGTCTTCCTGCACACTTGAAGTATTTTTCCTTTTATCATCCCTCGGAACCCATCTTTTCTCTTCATACCTGACAAATACATGTCAGTTAATTAGAAATAAGGAAGGGGGAATGTCCTTTCCTGTAATCAAACATTGGACTCAAAGAGTTGGTACCCTGTTTAATATTATTATATTTAATAGAAAAGGAACATACTTTGCACGAATGAAGTTTTCAATCCCAACTCTATCATAATTTGGGGGTAGCTCTGCTTCCCAGTAACTATTTGCCTTTTCATTTCCCATTGCTGCATACAACCAAATAATAACCAATCTGAAAATAGTTTTGGACAGGTGGTAGAAGGAATGTGAGAACGGAAATGAAAATCATGCTTACATTGAATAAATGCAACCTGCTCAGGAAGCCATGTATCCAGTGTTGCAGACCTCACCTGGAGCATATATGGTAAGAATCTCTAGGAATATGGCATATAGAAACTGTAGTTTGGTATTTCTAGTTTATTAACACAAACAATGGAATTTCAGGTGAAGAAAAGGACAGGTTTGTTGGGCTTCATTTGTTTGCATGTAAGAGAACTGAAAACAAATCATATACCAAAGAACAGGCATGCCTCTCAAGTACAAATGTTCACTTGTCATGGGATGCAGAAACAAATATGTGGAATATCTTTCCTGAACAGTACATACTTTTCAAGAGATCCAGTCTTCTTTCTTTATTACATTTTCCACTTCTATGCACAAAGAAGAAAACCTTGGTGAAGATACAAAACTTGCCTGGAGAGTGACCTTGCCAAATTACAGGAATCTGTTATACCTTGAAACTTTATTTTACAAAGCCCAGGTTGACACAACCAAACATCAGTGTATTTATGGAGTATGTTTCAGATCCATGAAAACATTACCTAATTTTTAGTTACTAGTTATGATGTACTGAGTTCATTCAGGCACATGCCCAATCAAGTTATTAAATCACTTTAACCCTATGCACTGCATTTTGGTGCATCATTATAACACTTGAAGTCTTAAGCTCCTAGGTTGCAGGTTCACTATAGTATGAATACCCAGTTGGTGAACCAATCTTAGCAGTCTCTGTTGCTCAAAATTTGGGGATAGAGATCTGACTTTTAGATGCACACCTCATCCAAAGAAATATGATAAGATCTCAAAAACAAGTGAATGAAATCATATGTAATAGAAGAAATAAGTAATCAGCTGTGAGGCTTATGCATTTGAAAAATAGTTATTTATTTAAATGAGATAATGGGTACATTTATCTTTCATATGAGGCTTATGCATCAGATATCAGGCTTATGCATCAGCTATCTGACTTTTAGATGCACACCTCATCCAAAGAAATATGATAAGATTTCAAAAAGAAGTGAATGAAATCATATGTAATAGAAGAAAYAARTAATCAGCTGTGAGGCTTATGCATTTGAAAAATAGTTATTTATTTAAATGAGATAATGGGTACATTTATCTTTCATATGAGGCTTATGCATCAGATATCAGGCATATTAGAAATTGAGAGGGGTACATGAGGAAATGTACTTGTCAAGCAAGAAAAGAAAGGCTCTGCCCACAAGGTTACTCTGGTTGGAACCTGTAACTATACAAAAAAGCCCTCCCAGTCCCTACTTCAGCTAACTCATATGTTCAACCCCCTAGGAATCCACCTAGATGGGCTTGCAGAACAGAGATAGTGTATGGTGTATCTGATCTCATTCAACAAAGGAAGGCACCACAAATTTTAACAAGCAAAATCCACTAAAACTGTCTTTGTATGTACAAAAGGTGAAATTAAGAATATAAGTAAATAAATATCACCTTTGATATGTGTACTCCAAGACTTCTATGAATTCCAGAACATTGCATGCAGATGAAGATTCCCAGATTCACACTAGCCCATCTAGGACCTCTGCATAGAAAGAAAATCATTATTAGAATCCCATATAAATGGACCTCAGTAACAAATTGGGGTGGGATCTCAGATTCTAACATATTCTTAAAAGATTTCAAATTGTCAATACCATTACTTACGATAAGTTTTACCGTTTTAATATAGTTGTCTCCTTTTTTCCCTTCTTTTCCTAGTATTATAACTTTTGTATATTATCCATCAAGAGAACAATGTATAATTGTCCTGTTTGCTTCTAGATACGTACTTGCTTTTGCAATCAGCACATTCCCTGTTCTCTGGCAATTTAAGAAGCCCCTCCAGTATCTGCAATGAATTAATGAAGAAGATGAAAACTGGTAGAAATGAACAGAATCAATATTTCCTATTAAACTACAGAAACCACAAAACCAAAGGGAAGGGTTAATTCAAAATTAGCATACTAGAAAATGGATTATACATATGTTATGAATAAAAGTCCCTTTTGGGAGATGGAGATTAGCAGCATTTATGGATAATCAAATGCCATGCATTAGATAAACTGATGGTATCGGTATATGAAAAACTTAAGCAGCCAAAATGATACAGTTAATGGTATTGGGTAAAATTTCTGCACTGCAGCATTGTCCAGGTCAACATGACAAGTAGTATGATTCTCCAGTAAAACAGTATCCAGAAGCCACTAGCTCGTGGACAAAATGATTCACTGAGTTGGTTATTGAAGCATGCAATATCAGCAGTTGTGCTGTTTCAGTAAAATTGACCTTAGATCTATCATAGCAGAGGGAGAAAGGTATACATGCCACAATGCAAAAGCAAATATATGCGTGCATAATTGCAATATCTGTATACTTATATCTAGTAATTCTCTCATCAAAAATAGGGAAAAAAAGCTGTCGATTAAATAATTTCAGCCACCCAGGCACCAAATGACACAAGTGGCAAGCAGCCACAATGATGAAAAATGGATTTGCACGGTCACTCATGAACAAATGCACCAAACCAGGTATGAAGAAGGATGTATTTCCAGATTGATTAATTAAATGCCGGAATATGCAGGGCATAAAGATGCCAATCAGCAAGCTCATTTGTGATCAGATGGCAAAACTTTGGTCTGTATAAGAAAACCCAACTTGCATAGGACTGGCAAATTTCAAGACTCAATGGAGCTAAAACCAACTCTTTTCTGGAATACTTATTTGATACTCTTTATCTAAGAACAATTTTTCCAAGTATACTCCCGTTATCAAACTAAAAACAAAACAGGAGAAAAATATGAGCATTCCAATAAAAAATATAACTATGAAGATTCAAGAAAGTAACGAAACGTGGTGCACATCGGCACAATATTGACAAATGACAAGGGCTGATAATTAAATGCCAAGCCTCTTTTACAATCCCGTTTTGTATAAAAATCATTTCTTTTTTCTTTTTATTTCCTTTTACGAGGAGCGTCATGGCTGTCGAGTCAGTACGTCAATGGAGCTACAAGCTTGAAACCTTGATAAGCACCATATAAAAATAACTAAGAAATCAAATTATAGTTCCCCGAGTCAATGTTCAACAATCGGATTTCCACAAAACTGGGAACCCTAAATAAAGATCTGAAAACGCAGAATAGCCCAATAATAAAAACAAAAATAGCATAGAATTCGACCCCGAAATCGTAGAATCGATAGTGATGATAATTCAGCTTCATGCAATCAATCTGATGACAATTACGGGTAACAATTTGAGACTTCACGCTATGCAGATCAATCCCATAGATTCAAACGAACTATTTAAAAAGCGGAAAAGAAAGAAAAATAGTCAAAATTCCCTGTAAACAGAAAACTAAGGAAAAAACGATTAAAAAAGGAACCTTTTTGTGCTTGGCATTGAGCTCCTTGGAGACGTTGGCCTTCTCGTTCATGATGCCCGTTGTTATTGCCCGTGTTCAGAATGAATTTTAGCAATAAGAGACAGAGGGAGAAAGGCAAAGAACAAAGAGAAATCTCCCTTCTTCTCACTCTCCCTCCTCCCTCTGTATTTTGTGAGAACCTGAGAATCTGCCGGTGAGCGGACCGTAATACACAAACAAAGACAGAAACCAAAATTAAGGAGAGAAATCGATCGCACTAGCGCGTCTCTTCTTGACTTTTTTTTTTCCCTTCTAAATTCTCGCTTTGTTCTGTAAGCGTGTGAAATCGGTCTTCGGTCTGAGCTTATTCTGCCACGCATGTGAACAGTGGATAATTTTTGAACATTGTTCTTTTTCTTTTTTTTTTTTTATTTGGACCATGTCGGGTTGGTATGGTCGGGTATGGTCGGACCTGATCCACTGCCCACTGGTAGAGTGGTAGGAGAATGAAGATTGGGACGACTCAGGAGCCCAGCCGGCCAGCCCAAGATGAACCCATGAAAATCTGTTGGGATGATGAAACAATTGCCCAATTCCCAATCCACCCGGACCACCCCACATCAAATAAATACTCTGTTCATTTTAAATATTTGCTGCACATTAAATTAAAATTTCAACCAATCACATAAAAAGTATGATATAATTTACATATTTTTCATTGGTTTACAGAGTGATGGCTCGATTGGATGTTAACTGGGTAGGCTCAGAATCCCTTCATTTGTCTGAATCCAAATCTGAGCATAATCCCATTATTGGTTCTTGTTTCACAAATCACAAATGTATTTTCACCATTAACAAGGTATACTTATTGTCTTATTTAACCAATCACATTTGTTGCTGCACAATGCAACTTATGCATCATAAATTTTGCCTTTAGATTGAATATGAATTAAATTGAATCCAATGTGATCCATTTGCAGCCCAACTGAAAACAAAAGGGACAAAATAACAGAAAAAGGAGGAGGAAGTCTCCTTTTATCAGTTTGCACATGTTGTGTTGGGCTGTTGGGTCACAAATATTTGACCTGACCCAAATTCAAACTGGGTTTTGGCTTAGCTAACCCCATCCAATGGTCCTCAGCCAGGCTTTAAGTTTAAAGCAAAGCAAAGCCTATTCCCCCTTACCTTTCTTCTCATCTCAAGGGCAGGAAAGACCAAATATGTGGTCCGATTGAAAAATGCAAAGTGGTCCTTAGGAGAGTAGTTCAAAAGAAGATGGGTGAGGTTGGTGATTTTCTATTGTTTTCTTTATTTGCCTTATAGAATTAAGAGATAGTAGTAGATAAGAATAGTTCAGTGGAATTCATCCACTTGAATTGAGTGGAGCGGCCAACTCCCAATGATCACAATTCACAGATATCATTGGGCCTCTCTCTCTCTACTGAATAAAAGCTTTTTTGTTGGAACTATAGATTCATTGCTCTAAGAATTTTATAGGATAGTTATATCTTGTAAAGCAATGTGGGAGGCTGACTGATTGATTAATGGTCCATCCTCAATAGCGATGAATAGGTGGATATCATTTAAGGAAAGAAGTATGATATCCACTTAAGTAGAATTTGACGAAGTATGTGTGTTTGCACCACTTATTTCCCTTTCTCTTAAAAGAAGGAAAACCAAACCAATCAGAAGAGTGGCTGATATCAGATTGCATGCCCCTTGACTATTATAAGTGTAGATGCCCTTTGATGTTTTGAAAATATACCTGTCAATGGTCGGATTCGGCTTAACCCGAGCTCAAACTGATCTAGTTCGAAATTTTACTTGGGCTGGGTTTAGATTTTCAGTCTTTGGGGTGGATTTGGTCCAAGAAGTCAGGATGGGCCTGGGCCTGGTCATTAGGTAGCCCGAATGAGGCCTGAGCCAATCCAACTATACCTACACATACATAATTTTAGAATAGGTTTATTAACCAATCCAAGCCCAATCCGAATGCATCAAATTACAGTACGGGCTGAGCTTGGGTTAGGAAGATTGGATTTGACCTCGGGCTCAGGCCTTAAGTCCAAATTTTAGGATCAGGCTTGGATTGACCATAAAACCGGCCCAACTCGCTCTTGAACACCTAACCAAATTGACCGAGCTGAACAAATGGATTATATCAATTCTGCTTTTGAGTTTTGTGTCCCAATTCTAATTGGGCCAGGACTAGTTTTTTCTACTTTGAACCAATTGTATACTTAATAATATATAAAGGTCTCTAAGTTTTCATATAAATAATTTGTGTTATATTCATATCTAAAAGGGTAGATTTTGTATAAATAATTTACTATTTACTGTCATTTTTATTAAGGTTATATTATAAAAACTGGTGTTCGCAGTTTTTATATATAGGTAATCATAGATGCCAAGTATACTTGGTCTAAGTGGGTCAGATCCAACTATCCCAATTAATAATTATTTTGGTTCTGGGTCTGTCCCGAACCAGACCCTAGACGTTGACAATTCTATTTAATAAAAAAGGATAAACGAATTTGTGTTTGAGCAAGTTTAGTTCAATTTCCTGCAAAACCACTATGTTCCATCCTGCTTGCTGGTTGAGAGAGACAGCAGGAAGAGGTAGTCATTTATAAGGTGACTGGAACTAATTTGTCATCCTCTTTTGATGTTATCCAGTGGTTGATCATCCTTATTGTCATTGGCAAGCAACAAGTTACCGGGCTAATTTGTTGTTTTGGGCAAGCCTGCATTCAAGAGTTGTTTATTCTAATTTGGAAGGCAAGAAAATGTTTAGTTGAACTCCATGATCATACTAGATCTACTAACTGAGAAAACATCCAATTGATCCCAGCTATTTGAATCAAATCGAATTCATCATAAATTTGTATGATTATCTTATACCTTTAGACCATTACCAATGTTGATCCCAGCTAAGTAATGGATTGGATACAGTCCTAATCTTTGACATTTTTTTTACAAAGATGCTGCTCTCAAACTCCAAGACATATTCCCACACTTGCAAATATCATTAATATGCACATTGGCAAAGTTGTCATTTTATCTAGAGGAATTTTCTACTTTTTTAGCATAAGGCCCTGGACCCAATGAGAACTTTGATGAAAGCCAATGCCTAGATTAATGATGTTCAGAGAACTCGATCGGTATTGACCCGAAAAAGGGAGAGGTTCATGCGTTAGAGGGTGATGATATAATATATAATGTATTCAAAAATATAATTATATTCTTCTATAATATATATTATTTTTTATTTTAGTGTCAGTTTTTTTATATATTAAAAATTAAGATTTGAGGCAAAAAACATGCATTCTTTTAGTAAAAATAGTGGGGCAAGGCACCTTGGGCCCCTTGGGAAGACATAAATCTCTAAAAGTTACCAAAATAAAATGAGATCACCACAATCATACATCCAAATGTAAAGTAATAGCTTTTAGAAGTTTTCATTTGGGTTAAAATCAAAAAGGGAAATTGTCTAAAACTCACCATGTCACTAACTTGACATTAAACAAATTAACGGATGTTAATATATTACCATTTTAATCTTCATAGAATAATATAAAATATATACAAAATAAATTAACGGGTGTTAGTATATTACCATTTTAATATTTAGACATGAAAAAAAAAGGAAAAAGTTCAAAAAATATTTTCAAATATAAAATACATAAAAACATAGAAATTACAAAAAAATATAAAAAATATAGAAATTGCAAACAAAACAAAAAATTATTTTCAAATTATAGAAACTATAGAAATTGAAAAACAAAATTAGAAAATAAAATTTGTAGAAAAAATACCAAAAATTATAGAAAAACACAGAAATTGTAAATAAATAACAAAAATACAGGAAAATTTATAGATTGTAGAAAAATAGAAAAATGTAAAAAAAACAGAAATTATAAAAAACATTGGTAATTATAACAAAACACTAAAAATGAAAAAAAAACAAGAACATTGAAAACTGAAAAAGACATTTTCCTTTAACTCACCATTCAAGGGTAATTTGGTCACGAAAATTGTTATGTATACTAACATGGACACCTCTGTTAAGAAGCATTAACGGTGCACTAACGAAAGGTGACATGGTGAGTTTTAGACATTTTGAAAAGTTGTGGTGAGTTTAAGAGATGTTGAAAACTCATAGCGAGTTTTAGACAATTTCCCTTTCAAAAAACCAACTGGTTTTCTAAAACCAGGACAAGGTCATCGTTTTTTCGGTTTGACTGTTTGGATCAGAGGTTTTGACCAGTTTTTTATCCAATATGATTTTGGGGGGTATGACTGAACCGACCAAGGGCCTGATCACAGTTCAACCAGTCCAACTGGTCGATCCGGTCCAATTTTCTAAACACTGGACTAATGAGATTCACAAATTGATTGACTTGAAGAGAATTGAGATGAACAACCTTCAAGTTGAATTTTTGATTCAGGCCCGAATATGGGTGGCACCCCCAATGACTGGCTGAAAATCAATGTAGATGGGGCTACAAGACCATCAAATGCAGGGGTTAGCCTCATTGTTTGAAACATGGAAGGAAGAATGTGAGGATACCACTTTCAGGTTTAAAATGCAATTAGCCTTGGAGTTTCACATTCAAAAACTGTGCTTGGAAGGTGATGCTCAAACTGTAATACAGTTGTTGATTGAGAAAAGACCCATTATCCCATGGAGAATTCGGTCTGTCATCAGGGGTTGTGGGTAGATGATGTTTTCGTTTTCCTCCATTAGGGTTCAGTTTGTAAATACTAAATAGAGGCTGTAAGCAGGCAGTCCACCTAGAGGTGCAACTTGTGTCGGAAGCTTACTCGTCATCATCATCATCTAGCTATCTTGTGTCATTGGTAGGCTAAAGTTCATAGCTTAATATTAATAGGCCATGCTTTGTCCATCTTAAGTGCCCATTTGGGTGGGCTGAAGCACAACGGTTTCTAGCTTTCCAAGGTGGGCCCCCACATGGGCAGCCTATAAGTTATGTTTGGTGAGAAAATGGAAGAGCCCAAATCAGATGTCATGTAGTTATTTGAAGTGCTGTCGGCTTCAGTCTCTTTCAATTGCTTATCCAAAGTGGTGAGTTTGGTTAGGGCCTAGGGGTGTTCACTGTCCAATTTGGAGAAGATCTCAAAACAAAATAGTAAATATGCTCTAAGAATTCCTTAGATCAAACCAAACCTTTTGAGTATGAGAACCAAACCATTTTATTATGGTTTGGTGTGGTTTCTAATAGGTTTGGGTTATTCTGTTGGGTTTAACACAATTAGAAAGCCCGAGCAATAAATATGCCTGCACAAATAACAAATGTAGTCTTTTAGCCATCATAAAATCATTGTAATTAGGTCATGTTTGGGAGTGCTTAAAAATAAGTGCTTATTGGAAATAAGTGTTTATTTGGGCGGGGACCACATCATTAAGTACTTATTAGTGTTTGGGAAATAAATGCTTATTTTAAAAATAAGGGTTTATTTTTTAAGCCCAAATTTCCATCTTTTTTTTTTAAGTGTTCATACAATAAGTACTTATTCGATTTTTTTCTCCCATAATTGTCCTTGGTGAATTTTTAGAATACCAATTATAACCCTTTTACAAAAACAATTTTACAAAGGCACTTTTATAAGCACTTTTACAAAAGTTTTACAAAAGCAAAGTGTTTTTACGAAAACACTTTTATGAAAGTATTTTTATGAAAGCATTTTTATAAAAGTACTTTTATGAAATCACTTTTGTAAAAGTACTTTTACATGGAAGCGCCTTTATAAAAGTGTTTTTATGAAAGCACTTTTACAAAAACACTTTTATGAAAGCATTTTTACAATATGAAAGTACTTTGTAAAAACACTTTTATGAAAATACTTTTATAAAACTATTTTTACGAAAGCACTTTTACAAAAGTACTTTTATAAAAGTACTTTTATGGAAGTACTTTTATAAAAGCACTTTATAGAAGTGATTTTATAAAAGCACATTTTACAAAAACACTTTTATAAAGTATTTTACTGAAGTACTTTTATCAAAGTACTTTTATAAAAGCACTTTTGTAAAAGTAATTTTATAAAAGCACTTTTGTAAAAGTAATTTTATAAAAGCACTTTTACAGAAGTGATTTCATAAAAGCACTTTTTACAAGAACACTTTTATAAAAGCACTTTTGTAAAAGTAATTTTATAAAAGCACTTCTATCAAAGTACTTTTATTCATTCACTCTGGATTGGATGTTTTGAAATTTTGAAAGAAAATGAAGGACAAAAGAGTCACAATTGCTTATTTAAGTGCTTATTGGAGAAAAACACCACCAAACACCCAATATAAAATTAAGTGCTTGTTTTTTAAAATAAACACTTGAAAAAATTGAGTACCAAATACAAATAAGTGCTTATTAGAATAAGCAATTGTTTTTAAACACTTATTTTTAATACAAGTACTCGCAAACATGGCCTTAGTATGCTATGCAAGCATCAAAATTGACTAAAACAATATGTTTTTAGGACCTTAAAGTCAATTCATTAATCACCCAAATGACAAGTTCGACTTTGTCTATTTGAGAGTTTAGAGAGAGAGAGAGAGAGAAAGAGTGTTAAAAGTTTAGAGTGAGAGCTTAATGAACACCAATTTCAATTTGGTGGTCTAGACCATAGACCATATAATCAACACCCCTAATTTGGTGATATAAGTTTATTAATTGTTCTCAAGGCTCATGTGGTGTGAATTTCATTTTCACTAATAACAAATGCAAGGAAGTGCAAAATTCTGATTTACTTTCGCTTCAGATTCACCTTGTCTTTTATTTGTGAAAAGTGATATAGGAAGTAAAATCACGTGGTTCCGACTTTTTTTTTTTAAAGAAGACAGGATGATACGATCCCCAACTTTATACGAGAGAGAATGGAGGAGGGTGATGCAAAATTTGCATCAATTTGTTAGATGCAAAATTTGCAGCAGATAGAAATGCAAGTCATATGCACAAACAAATTGATACAAAGCTGAAGCAAGTGCAAAATTTATATCCTTGTTATCTGTCAATTGCGTTGGCCGTTGGGTCCCTCCTCGGTCTCTCCCTTGAATTAGGCTGAGAAGTACTCTCCATCCACCATCCTGAGGAGGAATGTTTTTGGCAAATTGTTTAAAATATATGCTCCATCCACAACTATGACAATGACGGTAATAAAATGAAGTTTGCTGAATACATGAAAATGAAGACAAAAATGAAGCTTCTTTGACTGGTCCACTGTCCACGGCGGAGAGGAGATCGGCTTCAGTCAAAGTCCGGAAGATATTCCTATTGCAAGGCTATGATGGGTGTTCGAATGGACTTTGCTTTCACTGAATCCTGTTTCGGCGGAGAGATGGAGTCAGAATATTAGAATCGTTTGACAGCATGCATGGGCCAAATCTTACAAAGGTCAAATATATGCTGGGACTGGGATTGAACAATTCCAACCGTTTGATTTTATCCTAAGGTGTATTTCTAAAGAAACGAAGGTCCACAAATCAGATGGTTGCAAATCAACCAATCGTAGTCTGACACCCCTCTGTGTGTTCGACACGTATTTGTGTACTGATTTTTGCCTATCCGTTCTCACTCTGCTCGGCTTTTTATTCTCCTTTCTCAAGCTTGGGCTCTTCTCTGGTTTCTTCTGTATTAAGTTTCGAAGACAAGTATCAAAGTAAGTCTCGACTTCCGACCCCATTCGTTGTTTGCTTATTAGGGTTTATCTTTTGGGAGATATTTCACTTTTATTTTTCAATTGATGGAGGAATTTGAGCCGAGATGCTTGTTTTTCCTGGATGATTTCTCAAAATATTCGTTTGATATCTTAGAGAGCTGTTGCATAAATTTCCCTGTGTTCCCTTCAGCAATTGATTCATTCACGCTTCAAAAACTCAACATGCCCCATAGCTAAATAACGGTGCTGGCAATACACCATGAAGTAGGCTCTGTTCTTGGGACCTTGTGAAAAACCCTAAGTGTTTGATGTTTGGTATGCCTGAAACTGAAGAACTAAAGAAAGGAGTAAAAGAATAACCGAGTACCCAAAGTAAATCTCACATAGGGTGCACACTACTTACATTTTTCTTTTTTACTTTCTTGATGGTTGCTTGTAGAACACATTCATCACCAAATTTACTTTAACATGTGGGCATTAATCATCCTTTTTTCAAGGATCATCTCTAGCCTCCGATGCTTGTTAGAATTCCTCTGTTAAAGAACTTGGTGACTTCCTTGGATAGACCCGCATCATATTTTTGGTTTCAGTCTGATTTTGTCTTCTAGTGACATGCAACGTCTCAATAAGGGACTATGCCTGCATGTTCACAATCTGCCAAATGTATTTGTGATTACTCTAGTGCGTAGCATGTTGATTTTTCAATGACTTGAGTCTCGCCTTGATGCACTCTGCTGTGAGTCCTTAAGACACTGAAAAGATGCTTTATTGTCAAGAAACGATAAAAAACAGTGTAATTGGATGGGAATGCAGATACTCCTCTCCATAGAGAGAAGGTTGAGAGAATCTTACCCTTTTGAGCTTTAATAGAACCTTAATAAGAAAAATTGACAGGAATGGAGAAATGTTATCATGCAATAAAAGCTCTCTACTTGTCTTCATCATCTTGCTTGAAACCTATTTGGCAAGCGCAGTGTATATAAGAAAACCTGACCCCGCCTCTGTTGCATATTTTCTGCAATGATTTTATAAATTCTCACATATTAGAGACTCATGATCATCAGGTTGTCTGATAATATATGTTGGGCAGGGTTATTGGCAAACTGGATCTGGATCCGGTAGATGATATCAAGGGTAATAGCGCCCTTGATCTTGCCAAGGAAAACAGAGTTTCTGCTCAGACAACAGATAGGTGGAAGCAGATGGGATGCGAAGAGAAAAAGGCAGCAGTTCATGCAGAAATGAAAAGAGTGAACCAGCTCCCTGCAAACAGCAGTTATGCAACGCATCGCTTAAGGGTTCTTAACAAAGTGTTGCAACTTATGTCAATTCAGGTGAGAAGCTTTAGAATTTTACTTTTTAATAAAGCATGTTTTTTTTTTGTGGTTCTGTAATTGTATTCTCTCATTCATTGTGAAATTGGCATGGAACTGAATGCAAGATCTGTAGAAAGAATATGGTCAAACGAGATAATGGATTGCATACTTGCAAGTTGAAAGTCCACAAAGTGAATGCTGGCCAATTTCCTAAAATAGTAAGGACTGATGCTAGGCAAGGTTCGACATGATCAAAGAACAGAAAAATTATTTGATTAAGCCATAAAATATTGGTGTAACAATCTTATGGTTGGGAGGAGGAGAAGAAGGTTCATATTGTAAACTGGGACCAAGTGTGTCTTCCTAAGGAAATTGGTGGGTTGGGAATAAGAAAATTGAAGAAGTTCAACTCTGCCCTCCTGTGTAAATGGCTTTGGAGATTTGCAAATGAAAGAAACACATGGTGGAGAAAGCTTATTGTGGATAAATATGGAGTGGATTGGGGTGATTGGAGATCCAAGTGTCCTATTGCAAGAGGGATAAGTTCCATTTGGACAGGTATCTTGAAGATCTCTACTCAATTTGAGGAAGGAATCGGATATAAATTGGGAAATGGGGAAAGAATTAAATTTTGGAAAGATTCTTGGTGTTTTGAAGTGTGTCTGGAAGATGCCTTTCCTCTCTTGTATCAAATTTCTGTAAATCAGGATTCCTCGGTTGCTGAGACTTTCAATGCTTCTGCTAATTCTATTAGTTGGAATCTGCTTTGTAGGAGGAGCCTCTTTGATTGGGAAGTGAAAGATTATGCGAATCTGCTACACTTGCTTTACAATCAGAGGGTTGACTTGAACAAGGAGGATTTTTGGAGATGGAAATGGAAAGCTGATGGCTGGTTCACTGTAAAGTCTATGTACAACAAGTTGATAAGTTCAGGTCATGTGAACTTTCCGGCTAGGCAAATTTAGAACTCAACTAGTCCTTCTAAAGTGAAGTTTCTGCTCTGGACAATGGTTTTAAATTAGTGTCTAACCAGAGTTAATCTAATGAAACGTGGAATTCAGATTCTGGACATGTCATGTGGCTTGTGTGGTGGGTTAGCAGAAACTATTGAGCATCTTTTTTTGCATTGCCCAGTTTTGATTTATATTTGGAGGCATTTCCTTCAGGCCTTGGAAGTCAGTTGGAGAATTGAGGGTCTCAGCAAGAAAGGGACCTTGGTTTGGAACACTATTCCGGCTGCGGTGCTTTGGACTATCTGGATTGAAAGAAACAACAGAATTTTTCAGGGTAAAGCTAAATCTCCAGAGGAAATGGTGCAGAAAGCTGTGGGCAAATTACTGTCTTGGGTGTCAATAATGGAGGAATTTAAAAATCAGAACATGCGATTGTTGTTTAGTTCTCAGTCTTGGATGCATTTGTAATTCTGAGGTGGCTCTAGGCAGCCTCTACTGGCCTAGGCTCCTTTGTACTGTTATGTGATTTAATAAAATACCTTACCTTCTATTTAAAAAAAAAGGCAAAAAGTAGTAATACTGCAATGTTTGTCATGCACAATTGGGTGTGGCAAAGAACTGGCAAGTAAATACATTATGAACCAAAAGCATATGTGCATAGGATTAACTTACACATAATCCATCAGATAATAGACAAATAAACTAATAAAACATTGAATAAACAAACCAATAGACATATATCCACTAATGCTTGGATTAATTTCCTTGACAAACCAGAAGAAGTGTTAAACTTGTAACCAGTAGGTCAATACTCATGAGTCATGATGCAGTTGCTTGATCAGTAACTGTAACTTTCGTTAATGGGATTAAAACAGGCAAATTACAACTTTACAAATTGCACTTGGAGTTAAAACATCTTATCTCTGAAAACCACTATGCCTTTACCATTGTGCCCAAGACATTTGATCTTCCCCACCCCTTGTTTTTCTAAGGAATCAGCAATGCTGTTATTCCATAAAATCATATCAGTGATTTATTTGTTTGTTTGTATGTCTTTGAGTATTTGAAATAATATCTTGTTTTATACACATGATGTTGCTTTAAGCATTTCTGATGGTATATAATATTGAAATAAGACATAAAAGTAAAGAAGGCAGTGGAGGAGTAGTCCTTTTAAGTCTTTTTCTTTCAATCAGTGGTGTGCTGGTATAGGGTTACCACAAATAAAGGCCACATGAAATGGTCAAAGTAGCACTTTCTTTTGGAAAACAAAGGCTATAACTCTTTATGCTTGCAAAATAAAGACTGTAAACTAAATGTTTAATATTATTTTTTTGCATATTTGCAGTATATATGAACTTATTTATAAGACCACATCAATGAATTATGAATGTCTCTTTTATTTGACTAGTTAATGCCTAGGCACCGACTAATCATCACATAGAGAGTCCAAAATGACTAATCCTTGCCTCACCACATTGTGATTTGTGACACTGCACTTGAATTATCTTGTAACAAGGAAACTTCACTATCTGAAACTTGACACAGCATTTGGTATGTGCATGTCTGACACAAAACCAACTTAATCTAATACCTGTTTTCTCCAACTATTGTTTATTTGGAATTTATACAGCTCTTTTCATGTACTTTAGTTTATTGAAGTTCATCCTTTTCCAGATACATGCTTACACAAACTAGGTTATTGTAGAAATGTATCTTATAGTACACGAGAGACTATAGGGACATCTGCATTTAAGCCTTTTAGAAAGACACCCCAATTCTTATGGGTAACCTCTAATCTCCAAATTTTCCTCACATTAATCACCTATTTCTGTGAGAAAATCATTGTTCTGTACTAGCAGTCTGTGGTTACCTCTTATTTGAATTTTACATATATATACTAGCGGAAATCCAATATTTAATATTAGCAAATTAAAATTTAAAGAATTACAATGACATATTGACATGTATTGTACCCCATGTAGTGCATCATACACCACATACCTGGTATATTCCATAATTTCAGATTTATCTCATATGAAAAATAAAAATTAAAAGGATTAGAATACAATGTATTTTGCCCTTTATGATGCATCTTACACCTGGGAGAGGGAGGCCTTTTGGGGGGGGGAGAGATTTTTCCAAGAAATAAAAATTGGAGAAAGGAGGGAATTTAGCCCCATTTGGCATCACTCCAGAGAATCTCATTCTCAGAATCCTTTCTGAAAAGGATGGATTCTGAGAATTTTCATCCTGAGAATCACTGTAGTCCTGTTTGGCATAGTCATCTAATTCCTGTTTCTCAGAAATAGAATCACGTTTGGTAGTAACCAATTTCTTTGAATCAATTCTTTGATAGACAAAATGATGCAATAATCCATGAGCAACAATCCGTCGTAGCTACAGCATCACCAACTGTGAGCAATACAAGGACTTCAACTAAAAAAGTTTTTAACTGCTACATTGCTGTTCTAGCTACAGGCCTACAGCATCACCATCAGTGAGCAACAATCAATTTTTTGGTATCAAGAGAGAACGAAACAATCAATTTATCATTTTGTGGATGCATCTGTAACAGCCCATGCACCAACAATAAAATTTATTGGGATCAAGAGTTTCATACCTGTGAGTTGGGAGGGTGACGATAGTGCTGGAGATGACCGGTGGAGAAAGAACGGCTGAAAGGATTCTCAGACTGAAGAAAAGAAAAAACGATGGAGAGAGTTGTTGCAACTTGCAATAAGATGCTGTAATGTAGAGAAAACAAAACTGGTTGAAATATTACCTGAGATAGAGTTGAGGAAGATGATGTCAACGGCACTGGAGAGGGATGGAGGGGTATCATTGTACCCTCACTATCACGTGCAACTCTTGTCACACGTGTTCGTTTTTTAAAGAAGGGCATCACGAGAATGAATTCGACCGAGAATTCTCATTCAGAGAATACGATTTTTTTTCACTCCAATGAATCGAGCTGGTGGAGGGGTATTTTCATCCCATTTTGAATGAGAAACGGGGGCCGGGCAAAACCAAACGTGATTCTCATTCTCAGAATTGCAAGAATTGTCAGAAATGATTCTGAGAAGCGATGCCAAATGGGGCCTTACTGTCCAACTTTTACTGTCAATGTATCAAACCATTTTCTTGATTAAAAAAAACTCTTGATCCGTCCCGATTATATCAATTAAGCAGAATATGCCAATATGGGTCCAGATGTTAAATCCAATTATAACCATATTGAATCTGAATCTATCCAGTTTGATGTTATTAAGATCCAATCTTCAACATTACTATGCATAACATGTCCATATAAATCCAAGATATACTTTCATTAAAATTGATTTAGGTATTGTTTTTAAATTAAAAAGGTTGTATTTTAAGTAAAGTCAATATCTAAAATCAATCCAAGTCTGATCCAAATCAAATGAATCGGATTTGATTTAAATGTGAACTTAATCATTATTAAAGGATCTAGGTATATCAGTCCACATTTGACTGGCTGGCAGCTTTTCCCTTGTCCCTCTTTTCCAAATATAAACAACTTGAACCCAGCAATTGCAGAATCAACCATCACATTACTAGACTGACAAACCGAGCTTATTTTTGGACTGGTAGGTTGCATATAGTTCATTCTTGAATATGCAATTAGTTTAGATGCAAAGATTAACCAATTTTTTTTTTTGGACATTTGATTCCATATCTAACTACTTCTGTTCTTTGTCAGAGGACCCGATCACAGGATGAAGAGTTAGAGCTGCTATTTGCTGGGCTATCCCTGTGAAGAATCATCCAACTTGAAGAGAACTGGTCAGTTTCTTCAGATGGTTGTATTTGTTTCTCTGGAAAATGAATGTAAATTTTTTCTGTGTAATGTTTCAGCTATTATTTTCACCCCTTTTATAGAAAATTAACTTTGTTGTCCACCCATATTTTTTGAATGTAAATGGCAAGGCAAGGAAACTAATGTTTTCTTAGTCAAAATTTTCTGCTCATTTTACATTAAAGAAATGCCACTGGCAAATTTCCCCTAAAAGAATAGGTTTTTATTCTTATTGTGCTACAATACAATACTTGCTATTATTGTTATTGCCGTACACAATCTCTTTGAACAGAGGATAATACTTGTATACTTTTGATATTATACCTGATACAATTTTCTTCCAAAAAAGAAGATTTTATACTTGATACAATATACTTGTACCTTTTTTAAAAAAAGGCGTTTCTCCACAACATGTTGACAACCTGAAGGCATAAATTTTTTCATATTGCTTATAAGTGCTACTCTTTTTATCAATAACTGAAGTTATCAGTGGTACTTTTGAAATTGATTCTAAGCTTGATTGCCCAGTTTAGTAAAATCATCATCTCTTTGACTTGTTCATGCTAAAGTTGGTTAGACCTGATTTTGAATTTCCTTTTCATCAAATATTTGCCAGTTATTTCCTAATTCATGCTAAGGTTGGCTTTGCAAGTTACATATGGACTACTTTTCTTAACATTTCCTAATTAATGGATTTATTTCATTGCAGATTTTCAAAATGTAGCGTCTATATCAATCAACTATGAAAAAGGATGGAGGCAAAACCTTGTAGCATATACTCAGCAATGACAAAAATCTATAGCTTACCAATCAAAAAAAGAGAAAAAAAATGACAATATCTATTAGCTTACTGATATATAATGCTTGTGCATGTATACCAAGTTGTTATTTGCTATTTTGCGGATTGGGGTTGATGTGGAAATAGTCTCTTGTAACCTTTTCCTTCTCTATTGAGCGTCTGTGTGTGTGACGTCTCTATACTGGAAAGTGGGAACCTTCAAGGGACCAATCTTACTAGTAAACGAGTAAAAACTATTTTGATATTTGGTTTGTGTGGTTGGTTGTGCACTTCTTCTAATCAATCCTTACGAGCCAACTGATTGGTAAATGCTTATTGCTTATGGGATCAAAATTGGTAAAAGCTAATGCAGTTATGCTTATGATGTTGGACCAGGGAATATTCCTTAAGATTGGTCTTGAGTCTTGACTCTTGAGAACCAGCTAAGCATTACTCTCCTCAAAATTCCAATCTCCTCAATCAAGGTGTTCACATTCACATTTTCTGCGACCAGAGTCACGGCATTCTCTTGTCACCGTGCCATTAGATAAACCGAGGGGGAATATTCCGTACTGGGGTGTGATTGAGTTCATGAGTTGTGTCGACTCTTTTGAGCCCCATTGTCGTGTCGCTGAAAAGTGAAATCACATTGTTTAAAGCATGGTTTTCATTTTCAAAACCGTACCGGACCGGAAACCAGTCAGTTGACTGGTTCTGTTTTAATCTGGAATCGTTATTTTGCCAAGAACCGTTCATCCAACAGTTTTGGTTGTTTTTTATTTTTTTTATTAGAATGGGCCATCTGTTTGGTTCGAATGGTCGGATTGTTTGACAAAGAACTGGATCCTTGACCAGTTTATTGTCCAGTTCGATTTTAAAAACTTTAAAATGTATCTTTACAGTATCCAAACTTTCAGAATGTATCTAATAGGACTCAATTGCTAACAGTTTGTCAGTAATCATGTGCCACTTAAAACTTTTAAAAATGCTAAAACTATCATTCCAAAGAAGACGATGTTCATTGTCTTCTGCCTTGAGGCTGAACCGGTCACTGAATAGGTTCCAACTAGAAACTTATGGTATTAACACATACAACGTAGAACTCATTCTAAACAGAATGATCCGTTACTGAAACTAAAACCAACCCTCTAATCTTCCCACATAAGATTTACAGTGTAGCCCAAAAATTCTCACTAAGCTCCTTTTGCAAGATGATCTGCCATGCTTTCCTGATCTTTGTACCCTCTGTATATTCAGCTGGATATTTCCTGTGAACTGTTTCAATTTTTTATTTTATTCCTGAATCCCCACAAAACTTTCTTTGTTTTCAACACCCAACTTATCACAAATTTTGAATTTCTTTCAACCATTAACTTTTCCACCTCCAACTATATAGCTTTTACGGAAAAACCCAACAGCCTATGCTTTTGAGAAAATTTCTGGGAATATCATGTTATCATGAGAATGGGTAAATTAGTAATAACATCTTAATTTATTTTACTAAGTACCAAAGCATGGGCGTGAATAGGTGAACTGCCCAGAATGTGCCCAGTCTAGAAACTGTCTCAACAGCCTATGCTGTTGGGCCCCAACAGCCAAAGTTAACCCGCCTTTTACACCCCACGCATCACTGCCTACAGATCTGCCGTTGTGGAATTCCCTTCCCCAATCGGTCCTGAAAACATTGCATGTATCTCTCCATTTTCATTCCTTAAAACCCCTCTAAATCCTGAAGGTTCTGGGTTTCCCTCTAAATCCACAAGTTCTTGTTTGTTTCCCGGGTTGCCAAAACAGCAATTCTCAATTTTAATTGCATATTGAGAACTATCATCAACAAATGCAACGCATGCATGCACAGGAAGATTGCAGCCTGCCATTTAATAGATCCACCTTATGTATCTCCTTTCATTGAAAACTATCTTCATCGAAGTGTTGCAGTCTTTAACAAGACCAATCCAAAGGGATGTAGGGATGCCATTGCTTTGGGTCATTATGTACTGCTCAGATTATAAATCCCTACACTAAGACAAAACATACGTATTGAACTGCTGTTATCTTGTCAATCTCCATACCTGAAATATGCCTTTAACCCAATAATCCTCCTTATGGTAGTCTAACATTTGATCCGAGCTTTGCTCAATACCTAACATTGGGTGTATTTGCACATTGGCGGGAATTGTAATTCAATGCCAAATATGGTAAAGCGAAATTGTTTGAAACTTGCCATATGTCAGTGATGCAATGTTCTGAAAATCATAATTGTATCGTAAATTGTAAAAGGGTTTGAATCGAATCGTATCGTAAAACTTAAAATTTTTTCTTATTTTTTCAAAAACTGTTAAAAACTCTAAAATATACCTAAATCTCTCAAAAAATAGAAAAAATGACTTTACACAAGCTTTCTAACCCATAAACATCTTATAAATATATAGTAATGATAGGCTTATAGTTACACCAGTGTCAATAAAAAGCAATATCTTGAATTATGAATGAATATGAGCTTTACATGACAATGACAATATGTATCCAAGACTTTAGTTTAGTCAACAAAAAAGCTGGAGCAAAACCCAATATATTATTTAGGTTCCCTACACAAAATATACAAAAAAGGTGCCCCACTATGCACAAATATATATAGCAGTATAGCCCTATAAATCTTTTGTAATCTGTATAAGTTCGTTTGTCAAGTTGTCAACTAAAAAACTAAGAACTAAGAAGCCTTATCCGTCAAAATATATCAATCTTCATCCTTTCTATCATTATTCCCATTATCATCATCAACAAGTTGAATGTCTTCATCTTCTTCTTTTTCATATGATGAAGAAACAAATTCTTCTTCATCTTGAGGCTGGATCGTCCCTGATGATGTGCGATCTGAAAGTTCCTAGTTGGAAAGATGCTTGGACGTTGTTTGCGTAGCGAGCTGGATCAAGCTGCAAAACAAATATCAGAGAGACCGGGGTGGATGATCCGGGGAGGCCGCTCAGATGCTTAAGTTAGTATCTTTGTTGTGATTGCGAGCTAAAAGTTTGAATTCTAGAGAGCTTGTGTGTAAATAACTGGGCGTACCTGAGCCCTGGAGGGGTTGATGCCCTTATATAGTTGAGCTGCAGTGAGTTTCACAAAACGATTTCAGGATCCTCGCCCTAAGTAGATGACATTCGTTTCCTCTTTAGACGGGGATTAACGTACCAGTCAATGAAGTCTATCATTACCGCCCGATTCGGGCAGGGAGAGGATAAGGCCTGCCGTTACACGGTGTGATCCCGGGAGGTTAGAAATCCGCTGAGAAGCTTCTAGAGTCTATTACGTGTCACTTCAGTTCCTGAGCATCGAACTGGCTTAGGTGCCGAGGTGGCTTTGTACCGAGGTGCCCGAACACCCGGGCTCCCAAACTGCTGACTAGGCTCCCCTTGCCGAGTTTTCATTCTGCTGGCAGATCGCATCCACGTGACCTTTACTTACTAGGTCGTGCCAAATTACCCCTCATCAGTCCCTTTTCTTCTCCTCTTGTGTAGATCCCTAGGACTTAAGGTAGAGAAAATTATGATTATTTGAATAAAATAATAAAGTTATAAATTATAGTAATAACAAAATAAAACCTACCACGTTTCCTTCGCTTATCTACAACTCCTTCAACTTCAATAAAACACTCTCCCATATCCATCCATGTTGTATCATCAGAAAGGGTAGGGTTTTCCTTCTCAGTTATCCATTCATCATCCGATTCCATGTCCGATAGACAAATTGGATCAAGCCCTTGCTCAAATTTTCTCTTCTCATGGCGAATCCCAAGTTGGCGATTGTATTTAACAAACACCAAAGCATTCAATCTCTTTTGTTCCAAACGATTCCTTCTTTTTTAATGTATCTAGAAACATTAAAAATCAAGATTCAAGAATTATATAAATCCATATATAATATGCCCTTAGCATAAATTTTAATCTCCTAAACTAAATAATTAAAGGAATAGAAGGTTTATTTGCTCAAATGTGCTCCAATTCCTTTCACAACCCATAGAACTACACGTTAAACTCAAAATACGGATTGCCAATTTCTTCAATTTTGGTGTGCCATCTTGATGCATATTTGCTTACACTACCAAGTGCATTAGCCGCACAAGTAATAGAGTGATGAATAGAATATCATTCCCACGAGGACTTATGTAGCAACTACTAGTAATACATCAACCAATTCTTATTTGATTAGCCAAAATTTAAATCTACTTCAAATCTGAAATCCTAACTACAAAACTAGCTCTAACAAATTTGATCAAACACCTTGCAAGCAAATTGAGAAGACAAGCTAACTATGCATAAAATTGATTCAACAATTAGATCTCTAGGTCATTCGATTAGATTAGGATTCAGCCTTGGTTTGGTGAAACCCTAAGGCAATGAACAACCTCTCTCAAACACATGTTCATTCTATGCATGAGTGATGATTCTTCTATCTCTAGCAAGAATCTAATCCCCATGCATGCATTAAGATCTAGAAATTCTAGGGTATCATTTCAGAATTGAATGATCACCAACCGAATTATGCAAGTTATTTCTAACCTTGTACTCAATTTGGTTCTTGATTAGTAGATCTGAAATCTTAGATTCTTTCTCAAGCACTCTAGGATTTCCAATGAACAAATCGGCCAAACTGAATTAAAGTTACTTGAATTCTCTCTCAAGCAATTCAGATATTACAATTTCATGATCTGAAATTACATATCTAAGATTGCAAACTAGCAATTTAGACCTTACAAGTTCATGATCTGAAATTACAGATCTGAGATTACAAAATAGCAGTTCGGATATCACAATTGCATGAACTGAAATTTCAGATCTGAGATTACAAGAGAGCAGCTCGGCTAATAGTTCTACAATTGAATTTCTAATAAAAAAATCAAAATTGAATCTAATTCATTCGAATAACCCTAGAGAGTTAATTACAGATCTAAATTTACATGAAACATCATTCAATTACAGCAAGAAATATTGAATTAATGGAGAAAATCAACATGGAAGCTCTAGCTGAATTCGATTACCACTTGTGCAGAAATCAAGGAAGAAGACAACCTAGATTGATCTCYTYCAATGRCTTCTTCTCCAAATTCGAAWTCAGCTTCTTCTTCTCTTGAATATTCTTGAATCTTCTCCTCTCTTCTCCTCTCTTGCGCCTATCCTTCTTTTCTCCCCAAAAGGAATTCGCCCAAAAGGTTTTTGACCCCTTTTCCTTTAGTTCTCTTCTCCTTTTATAGCCTTCTCTTCAGCCCCTTTCT